CAGCTGTTCCTTCATCTTGGCTGAGCTTTCAATGTTGTTACGGGAAAGGATGAAGCTGATTGGTTGGTTCTTGTCACATGACCCGCGGTGCGCTTGCGGCATTCTGAAAAGTTGAAATGTGTTTATCTCGATGCGGCGCGGTCCCGCCTGGAAAAAATGAGCGCGTCGCACCGCGTGCGCGTCGCTTCCATTATGAGCGCGCCTGCCGCGTGTCTACATTTGAAATAATGAACTTGAGCGCGCCAAAGACGCGATATGTGAACGGCCCCTTAGGTAGGCGTGGTTAACTCTTAACTTTTATAAAGAATATCTCTTTGGATTTGAGACTTTAGTCTTTGCAACTTTACAGATCTTCTTTATGCACCAAGAGCTTGTAACACTCCAAAGAGAAAGGAAAAATTGAAATCGCATCATATGACCCCTTTAACTCTGCCTACGACGCCTCGGTTTTGTGGTTTCATTTATTAATGCTGACACACGTATTGGCCACAAGAGGGAGCTGACAATCAGTTATTTTTCATTTGCTCTACGCAATAAATAGGTACTTCTGCAAATGTTAAAGAAGGCTAGACATTTTGGAAAGAAGTCAGTGACCCAACCTGAACCAGCTTTTATTTTTTGAGTGCTTTAACACGACTTGGTTGGTAGAAACTGAAGTGCAGTTTTCCATCCTCTCCACTAAGCGGCAGAAGCGGCTTTCAACTTCGGTGTCACACCTTTGGATGACAAACCTCCACGACACGACACGTGCAGATTGTTTTAAAAACAGATCATATAAATGACAGCTCAGCGACAGACTCTTAATGCTTTTAAACGGCACATATTCCAGCTCAACAGCAAATTAAACCGACACACGGCGCGATAAAAGTGCAGGATTTGAGGTTAGTAAGTATCCTTTCATAAAGTAACGTTACATTTCTTATGTAAAATGTCTATCACTCCTTAAGTCTTTACGTTTAGTAAAAGTCACTGATACATAGTTCTCATGATATGTCACTCATTTAAAGTAATGTTATGATGGATACATGGACTAAAAGCGTCAAAACACATTTTTAATGTGTCTTAAACATAAAATCTTGTCGCTTAATAAACGAAGTGCTTGTTATTTGACAGCTAATTGTGTATGCAGGCAGTCGCATCTTCTACGAAGGTTTATCACAGGCTTTGTTTACATGCTGCTGTCTTGCTGAACTCGCTGTCAGACCAACAAATCAATCGGTAGTTGTTGCTTTACCTTTATAATCTTTGAATTAATCACCCTCTGATATTCATATTATAAGGTAGAATAATAAGTAATGGCTTTTTGTCTCTGTTGTTCGTGCTGTCTTTGTTAATAGACCCAGTTAATGTGTGAAGCTCTGAAGTTTCTGTTGCCTTATGGTTTTGTAGACATCATGCCGTGTTCAATATTTTATGTCTAATAGATAATGTACAGAGCTGGGTGGATTACTTACTAATTGTAATCCGTTACTGATTCCAAATTACATGACAAAAATTGTAGTTAACGTAATCCATTACATTACACGGTTTAGGTAATATAATCAAACTACTTTTAGATTACTTTTGACCTATCGAGTTTTTCCACATTGATTTAAATAGGATCATTTTGTACCATATTGATATAAAAATACAAAGAGTAAACATTATATTACATCAAGGTTTCCCAAACTGGGTTTGTGAAGGAACTTCAGGGGGTTTATGACTTTAACGAAATGCTAATAATTAATTAAATCATAAAAATGTTACATTAAAACAAATCATTTTAAAATGAATCCAAATAAAACACTTACTGAAAAAATGAAATATTTTATTTGTTTACCTGCTTGGCATGTGACCATAACCAATGTCAGAGAACCATGAACATGCAAATGTGATACTTCATTCTTAAAATATTTATTTTAAAATCTCAGGGGTACTTCACACAAAAACATATTAGATGAAAGAAGATCAGATGACAACAAGTTGGTGAATTTGTGCATTTTAATGTATTTGAAAGACAAACAAAAGTAATACATGGTAAAATAACTGAGTGATAATTCAAATAAGAATTAATGTAATCATTAGTAGTTCATCAGTAGTTGATGCAGTGTTGAAACACTTCTTAAACCTGAAATGATTTTTGTAAATCCAATGGTCAAATGCTGTTTAGCCACCTGACTAATGACTGATCTCTGTGTGAATGTCCACAAAACTGGAAGACTTTCTGAATATATATAAGCGGTAGGCTATTTTAGAAAGGAACTTTTAAAAGATGAAAAAGAGGAATTAACGAGAATCAATAAATTATGAATAAATTGTTGCTATTGTGTAAATAATATGTAATTATGTAACCCAAAGTAAAAAGTAACTGTAGTCTGATTATGAGTATTTTAAAATGTAATTTAATGTAATTACAAGTACTTAATTTTTGGAATCTGATTGTATAATCAGTTACTATTATTTAGACTAATTTTTAAATTCTGATGTTGTTCATATACTATATGGCATAATGTTTTTGTGTTTCCCCTACAGAATATGTTTGGACCGTAGAGTGTGGACAGACTTTGACTGTAATGATAGACGTCTGCTCAAGGACAGGTAAGACTTAGAGCTTGTGTTTGTGTTTTGTTGTGTACTAAACGTGTAGGTTACCATCACTTTCTTTTTGGAGGGTCACCCCTCTAGAAAGCAAATGATGGGAACCTAAACGGGTGGGGAAGGGACGGCGGTTAAAATTTTTATACAGCAAATTTTTATTTTTTTCTCTTCAAGAAGCATAACCACTGCAGGACATCGCTCTGGGACTCAGGGGGGGATCCGAATCATCCTCACCCCTTCATTCACATCGCAGAGATCTGGCTGGGATTGAACCAGCAACCTCTGAACCGTGAGGCAGCGCTCTTACCGTTGAGCCACAGATCTCTTGCTCATGGTTGTGCTGGAACGTATATTTCACTATTCACCTGTATGTGCTTTTACAATAAACCAGTTAAAGCATTCAGTTGGGTGATTGTTGTCTGATGTGGGATTTGAACCCATTCCTCCATCACAGCCTTATCAGCCGAAAACATGTGCTTAACCACTAACCCATTGTGGCTTTCACATTGGACACTTTCGTTTGGGACACTTTGTTGGATTTATAATGACAACAATTTAACTTAAGCTTTCATGGGATTTGAACTCAAGATGCCAAGATTAAAGCGCAACACTTTTATCTACTGAGTCTCTGGAGTTGATGGGTGTTTGGATAGGATTTTATTGAACATTTGTTTTACATGTAGAATAACTTGATTAACTGTGGGATTTGAACCTAGAAGTTTCCCACAACTTAAACAGTTAATTATCCACTGAACCACAGAGTCTGTAGTGAGCTGCAGCGGCTTTTCTTTATTCATTTACCTTTAGACTCAAATGATAAACACAAACACTTTACTTAAATATCATCATTTTTATTCAAATGAATAGTTTTTGTTTCTGAATCTGAAACACACTTGCCTTGAAGTTTCTAGTATCCCTAAAGACCCTGATTAGCTGCTTCAGGTGTTTTTAATCAGATTTGAGTTAGTGATGGGTGCTTACAATAAAACAGTCCTCTATAAAACAAAACAAACTCTGCAAATTAATAAAAGAACACATATTATACAGATACGTCATATTTAATGGCATTTGATGGTTTGTTAATTGCATTTAAGATATTGTACTTTCAATAAAATACTTGCAGTGGGTTTGTAAAAGCTTTTTAGGCATGTTTTGGACAGAGTTTTCTTGCATTTACAGCTTTGACCAGCAGGCGTCACCGGTGAGTGGCGTTTTGAGCGCTTCGAAACAGTGAATCATTTTGCAAACCAATATTGTTTCAACTGATTCAAAGCTTTGAAAAGGTTCGTTTCTTCCAGTCTCTTTGCTTCTACTGCTGTTGTCTTATAATCATGCATGTACACATTTTGTCCACACGGGGGTGAACACACTAAATTGATTTCATGCATTTGCCTGTTAAGATTCATCAATAAAAACATGTCAGTGTTTAGCCATTATATTAGTCATTAGTTTATGAGCTATCGTTTTGATACAGGATCTTTGCAATAAATGCATGAGTGATCAATCACTATGCAGTAGATCATTCCAGTTCCCCATAACCAAACAAGCACTAAAATAAATGCTGCTCGAGTCTGCAAACACAGGCACAAAACACCAAAATCATTGTTTAACTGTTAACAAACATGGTACATATCATTTTAAATAAATAAAAACAAATACACATCTCCGTTTAACAGTCTCGGGAGATCTTATATCCCGTATGTTATGTGTGTTTACACTTTGAAGCATGTGCTTGAGTTCAATTCAACGCAACATTACCCCATCAACTGAGAGCTGATCGTGTTTATTTACCGAATCTAATAGATCCACGTTTCTCAGCTGGTCAAAGCTCTGACAAAATCATAAATTCGTTCAAAAGAAATATAGAAAAATGTAACTCTGAGCCCTGCCCTCTGAAGTGCGACTAACGTTATTAGCCTCCTAGAGTTTATTTCTTTCATCAGTAGATGCTGAGACACTTATTGACCACAAGAGGGAGCCGATGGTCAGCTCTTTGTCTGGCTTATACACATTTAATATCGTAAATAGCGACTTTAGCTTGAGTAGGAAAAAGTTAAAATATGAAAAAAAAGAAAGAAACATTTTTGACCCTGTTGTCACTATAATATATGACTCGTAGGTAGAAATTGAAGTGTAGTTTTCCATCCGCTCCACTAGGCGGCGTAAGCGGCTTCACGCTCAGACTCACACCTCGTTCAGGATGCTGCGTGACAACCGTGACTTTGTTTACAACGCGTGCAGACCGTTTAAAATACAGATCCTGGAGATGACAGCTCAGTGACTGTTTTATAAATGTAACTGAACGGCACATATTCCTACCCATTAACAAACAGAATAGACACATGCTGCGATAAATGCAGGAAACGAGTGACCTGCGACTCACCTGTAAGTAAGTCTCCACATGCAGTGCTTTCTTGCATTATCCTTCTCAAGCTCTTGTTATTTGCGTTTAAGTCATTTTTTAAGTTTTGCGAATTGTTTAAATATTGGCGTGCCATTGTTTTTCTGATAAGTTATGGTTAAACAGGGCTACTCTGTCAGTTTATTAGTTGTTGTTGTTGTTGCAGTCTTACTGTAGGTAAGATACTTATGTTTGTTATTGGAGTCAGTAGGTTTGTGAAGCTCTGTTCCTGCTGCTTCATGCTTTTATAGAGTTGCAGTGCTTTTCCTTTTAATAATAAGCATCATATATACAGTAAGTTGTTTACTGCAAAGGGAAGTCTCATCTCAGCTTTACAAATGTAAATGGACATTGTCCTGATACACATCTATTTTGTTTTGCTCAGTTTTTCTGCAGCACGTTAACCAGAGGCTGAAACACAGAAACAGATTGAAGGCCATAACCTCGACTTCAACAGCATGTGAGTCACACAGCATTCATTCAGCAGTGAAAAGAGACACACATAATGAGTACATTAGTGACGCATATATACATACATTTTTGTTGTTATATATACATAATAAATATACACAGTACACGCATATATTATGTAAACAAAAAAACTTATTTTGGATGTGATTAATCGCGATTAATCGTTTGAAAGCACTAATATGTATGTATGTATATATATATATATATATATAAGCTTTAGATTTATTTTGACTAACTTGTAAATTCAGATGTTTTAGATGTACTAAATATATTAATGTCTGTTTGTTTTTGTCTTTTCTCTGAAGACGGGATGTGTTTGGACAGAAGCAGAGCTCTGGGACGTGTGGACAGACTTTGACTGTAATGATAGACGTCTGCTCAAGGACAGGTAAGACTTAGAGCTTGTGTTTGTGTTTTGTTGTGTACTAAACGTGTAGGTTACCATCACTTTCTTTTTGGAGGGTCACCCCTCTAGAAAGCAAATGATGGGAACCTAAACGGGTGGGGAAGGGACAGCAGTTCAAAATTTTTAGACAGCTAATTTTTATTTTTTTGTCAAGAAGCATAACCACTGCTGGACATCGCTCGGGAACTCAGGGGGGGACCCAAATCATCCTCACCCCTTCATTCACACAACACTCACTCATATCACAGAGATCTGGCTGGGTTTGAACCAGCTTACACACCTAAAAAAAAAAAAAATTTGTTTTTCTTTCAAGAAGCATAACCACTGCAGGACATCGCTCTGGGACTCGGGGGAGGACCCGAATCATCCTCACCCCTTCATTCACACAACACTCACTCACATCGCAGAGATCTGGCTGGGATTGAACCAGCAACCTCTGAACCGTGAGGCAGCGCTCTTACCGTTGAGCCACAGATCTCTTGCTCATGGTTGTGCTGGAACGTATATTTCACTATTCACCTGTATGTGATTTTACAATAAACCAGTTAAAGCATTCAGTTGGGTAATTGTTGTCTGATGTGGGGTTTGAACCCATTCCTCCATCACAGCCGAAAACATGTGCTTAACCACTAACCTATTTTACTTTTATGGCGCTTTGTTGGATTTAATGACAACAATTTATAGTACACAATAGTGAGATTTGAATTCAGGTCTCCTAGATGAAAGCGCAGCACTTTATCCATTGCGCCACTACACCTGTTGAGTTCTTGAATTGTTGAGTGCTTTGGATGGTGTTGTATTGAGAGCTTTGTTGTAAAGGATGACAGACTTAAGCAACAGTAGGATTTGAACCAAAACTTTCATGTATGAAAGGCAAACACTTAATTGCTTTAACAATCAAAAGTGGGATTTCTACTCAGGTATATTTTCGGACAAGCATTGATTTATATAATGAAAAATGCTTTACCAGTAGTCGGATTATGCTTTGAGCCAGTCTTCACTTAAAAACTTTGGAATGCATGAGATTTGAAACAAGACATAATTATCAATATCAGCATTTAATAATCAGTATCAATGATTCATCAGTCAGTATCTGTGTTTTTCAATCCTCTCAACCCTCATGGAGGAAACTGTCATGCAGTTTTGAGCAACATGCAAGTAATGTGAGCAAATGGCAGTTTTAAAAAAAAATTATATTCACAAAATTCTGAAAAAATAAAATTAGCTTTAGCATTTTTTTTTAATCATTCCTGCAAAGCAGTAGCACTTTTTAAAAATAATTTATTTTGGGATATTGCAAGACTTATCATTTTATGATTAAAATGTTATGTGTTTGCAACCCAGAAAGTTTACAGAAAATGGAATGCAGGTCTACTTACAAAAAGTTAATCATTATTAATTTTTTAAATACAAATTCAAATCCAACTTTAATTTAATTATCTGTAGATATGAACTGTTATGTTAACTGAATTATGAATCTAGTTTGCACAAAGACAAAGACGTAAACGCTTATTGTCTAAACCCAGCTGCGCCATCTAGTGGTCACAAAGACCTGGTGAAATGTGAACAAAGTTCCCCAACTTTGTACTAAAAAATAAAGCACAACAAATGTATAGTGTATATGTATTTATTCATTACATAAAATCCAAATTACAACGGTTGATAACCAAAATTGTAAGGTTTTCACCATATCAAATAACAGTGTTCAGTAATTTAGAAAAATGAACAAAAAGCATAATTTACAATGACTGCTGCATGTCTTTAATCAAGTGCTCTTATTCAAGATTGCATTTCTAATCATTTAAATACAAAATAAAGATTTTTCTTAATTCGGAATGTACCATAGGTGTGTCATGTACAAATATAAAAGCATTATGCATTACATTGCCATGGCTTATTTCAAAACATCCCAGTCTTGTCATTACATTGGCATATAGGTTAAGCGGTGTACAGCATTCAGGGTGCAAAATGTGTGCATGGATATCCCAGAGTGCTACTGATCGCTAGCATATTTGCATCTATAATATGTTTAGTCCGCTAACATGGCTCCCAAGGCAGACTGGCCCTGCCCACACAAATGGGGCTTGTAGGAAAATGAATTCTCGTGATTGAAGAACTCGAGTGGGGTTATGTGGGGTTCCAAAGCACCCACATAAAGATGAACATTCCGCTGATTGGGACGGCTCCCATGGAAACCGCTTTATAAGGCATTGCTCTGTTTATCACGTCCCACGTCGTGGAAATACAAGTTGGCACAGATACACAGCAGAACGATGGAACAGAGCATGTAGTAGATCAAGTTGCGAAACTTGGGCTCCAGATCTCCTTGCCTATACCAGTATATCTGCGAGAGAAAGCGATGGATGTGATTTCATTTCTTTCGATTAGGAATTGCATTTGAAACTATTTATTTCTCTTTGGCACCATTTAAACAATTAAGCATAATGCTTTTTAGATTACATTGCAAGTACTTACTCACCAGAACCAACACTGACCCGCAGACTAGCATGATACAGACGGCAAAGAATATATTCAGTGGCTTGGGAGGAAGAGATGGGAAGACGAATGAGCTAATGATGGTCACCTGAAAGAGATGGCGAAAGTGAATAGTGACAATATGATTAACAGATATATACTGAGATCTTTATTAGTGGTAAAACTTACCAGAACGAGTAAAGACGCAAGTCCACCGATCACTAGATTGATGATTCTATCCTGAAAGTGATCGACAAAAATATATTAGTGTAGTTGACAGAAAATAGTTGCACTTATAGGTGCTGCAGTAAATATTATTTATTATTTACATAGCACCAATATATGGAATGCCTCAAGGGTGAACAAAGCTGGTTAAAGTTTAAAATAAAAAATAGTCACGTTGTGAGATTTAAAGGAATAGTTCACCCAAAAATGTGAAATGAAATAATAAGAGTCTATAAGAGTGTATAATCCATAAAGATGCTTCCTCCAGTGAAAAAGTCCATCTCATGTTGTCCTCTCACACCAAAATCCACTAACATATTGGTTTAGAAATGTTTTCACTTGTAAACAGCTTGATCTGTGCATATTTCTATCCTGATTAATACAAGACAATTTTTTTTCCACTGAAGAAAGCAATATTATGGATAGAGGCTGAATAAAGGATTTGAAGCAAAAATGCCTTGATGGATTTTTTTATTTTTACAAACAAGCATCTTTTCACTTAACAAGACATTAATTGATGGACTGGAGTCGTTTGGATTACTTGTGAATTACTGTGATGTTTTTATCAGCTGTTTGGACGCTCATTCTGACGGCACCCATTCACTGCAGAGGATCCATTGGTGAGCAATGATGTCATGCTAAATTTCTCCAAATCTGTTACGATGAAGAACTCACCTACATATTGGATGGGTTGAGGGTGAGTAAATTTTTAGCAAATTTTCATTTTTGGTGAACTACTGTATTCCTTTAAAGTCACAATTAACTTTTTTTTTTTTTACATGCAATACTCCTTCTACATATTGTTCTGTATAATCCAACATACAACCTATTTTACTCTTGCAATTACAATGTGATATTTTTCCAAGCAAAACTGATGTTCAATAAGAAAATCATGGTCCTGATATTATAACGTGCATTACCCTGGCAGATGTCTCCCCGAACAGAGGCCTGTTGTCCATGCCGCTGGTGCCATAGGTGCGTGTAGTGAAGTCATCCATGGCCAGAGCAGTGCACACACCCTTTCCTGATATCTTCTACCAGCAGCTCCCCCTGTGGAGCGGAGGACGGCAGTGCATGTCCGCTGCTCTTTAGGTTGGGTTTGCTCCTCACGGCAAGAGATTCAGAGGCAGGACATAGTCACAGTCGGGTTACCTAGAGCGTTAAATCATTAAAACACTTACTTAGTTCACTCATAATTTCATGGCATGTCAAAGTATGTGATATGAACTAACAAATCCCAGAGCCCCAGCACTTAATGATCTGTCACGAACTTTGCTCCTTTTCCCATGAATCCTAAGACTTTTATTACAATGGTGCTTCAGAGTAACACAACAAGCCTGCCTTTCTAATAATCAGCCCAAGGGTCTTGAGTTGATTCAGGCGGACTGGATCATGAAAGCATAAGAACAGCCTTAAAAATGTGTGATCGGTCATGTGAGAGCTTGATCTTGACGTCAGTGCAGAAGGAAAGAAAGCTCTGCTCAGTTTATGTGGTTTGTGGCTTATGCAGAGCCCTGTTAGTGTTTATTTAACCATATAGTCACATACAAACATGACATTTAAACAATATTATGCCAATTTATTTGTGTCACAAGTATATTAGTGATGGTGTCACTAGAAAAGACATCCTTAAAGAGACAGTTCACCTAAAAATGAAACTTCTGTTACCATTTACTCATTACATTACTGTTATTAGTTTTTTGTTCTGAAAGTCAAATAAGTTTGGAACAACATGATGTACGTTAATAATAATAATAAAGTATTTTTGGATTAACTATTCCTTTAACAGGAAAATTAAGTTCTTAAAACTATATATATAATTTTATGTACACAACCTACAGCACATTACCTTGCAATCCAATGCAAATCTTCATTATGATAATGGATAATGTCTCAAAAATTCTGGATGCAGCTCGTGTCAAAAGTTATCCAAGTATGGAAGACAATGGTGATCTCCAGACTATTTTTCAGCTCTGTAACCAAATAAAGCAAATGGACCATTAGTGTCTAATGTCACTTGCATTCATTTCCTAGTATTGATTGTTCTAGTCTAGATTCTTCTCAAAAAGGTGGCCTATTTAAAATTGCTAAGTGGTAACAAAACAATCGTACATCCCTTTCAGATAACCACGTTCATCTAAACACCTTATCAGTCCAGTAAATGACTATAGCTTTGACTGTAATGTATCAGTGCAGGTGCATGAACTGATTTTTGTTTATATATTCACTTACATACTGATTAATAAATATCATCCACTAAACTGGCTTTTTTTAGTCTTATGTGACAGCTAAGCGCAATGCTTTCAGTTGAAAAAAAAAAGTAAATATGACCACAAACAGATTGTTGTTGTAGATTAATATTAAGCCATGAAAAAGCTAACAAGCTAATGTGAAAGAAAACAAACCATCTGACCGGCACAGAGGGAATTAGAGTATAATAAACTACTAAACTTATTGAACTTACCTGTATATAACAAACAGAGGGATATACTGATCACACGGGGGTGTTTTCCGATCGGAGCATTATCCGCATGACTTCAAAAGATCAGTTATGACGACTCGCTAGACATGAAACCGGAAGTGACGTGCTCTTAAAGGGCAACGGTGTCCGTTATATGTTTATTTATTTAGTGAAGGCACAAACCTCAAATTTGGTCAAATTGTCATTTAAATGCACAATCATCGTTGATACTCAATAAAAGGGGACAATATTTTCATGGGTTTTGATTATCAATTATTAACTTATTTCCCTGAATTAATATTCACAAGCTATTGTCTTTTTATTGTCTTATTGTGTTTTATTGTCTTAATGTTTTACTTCTATTTTATTGTCTCAACCCAAAGTACTTGTATTAGTGAAATTTTAGATTTTTCTGTTATGCTAGAGTCGTACTAGAGTCTCTCATTTCCAATTGTGTGCTGCATAGTTAAGAAAACAGAGCAAACCACTAAAAATGTACCAGCCTACGTTTGTAGAATTTATTAAAGAGATGAAAGGTTGGCTATTTATTCACCTTTGAAATATGAAACACCAAATGGTACATTCATGTGAAAAAATGTTTATTTAAATCAGTGGTTTTATTCAAAAATTGTACCAAGACTTACATTTAGAATACAGTAGGATAACTCTGATCATGCATTTTCTAAAGACAGTATTACAAAACGTAAAAATAGAAAATGGCATAAGTGCTGGCTGGGTCGAGGAGCTGTCAGTACGCGTACACCTTCACTTTATGGACCTCTCGATCTTCGCACTCCCGCTTTCTGTTGTAGTAGTAAAATGTGTTATCTCGACGCTGAAGCTTCTTCACAAACCCAGTGTCCGCCCAACGGTCAATCTGAAAAGACAGCACAGCCATATTCAATAGGAAAACATTGAAATTTATATTATAAACTGTAAGCTATAATTAGGTAAGAAATGAACTGACAAAGCATAAAAAATATCCCATAAAGCTTAGCAGATGAGCTTCATATATATGTAGCGTCTGGACCACTCAAACACACAATATATATTTTGTTAGCTAGATTTAACAAATACTCTGTAACACCCCAGGAAGCCGAACAGGCCCCTGGTTCCATAGCAACGCTGACACCAGATACATTTACGATCTAAATAAACGTTCTTAGAATTGACAAGACAGTTGACCCTGAGAGGTCAAGTAAATATCTACAGCGGATCTAAATATTCATAATTAATTATAACTAGTTATGATTAATTATTCATATTTCCTCATGAGCTGATTCGTTACATATATATATGCTGTACTACCAGTAAAACTGATAAAAATTTGGGACCAAAAATTATTCAGACACTTTGACCTGATCATGTTTTGCTTAAGTGTTTTTCTTTAATTGCTAATGCGACCTTTTTACACCACAGACTGAACAAAATTAAGCATTGTTTGGTCATTGGTTGACCTAAATTGGTATAATCTAAGTGTGTGCTTCAATTTAACAGCTGAATAATTTTTGGTTGATTGTAATACTTTACATACCTTTCTATCAAAGTTATCTGACATTATCAAGATGAATTTGTTCTGACACAGTTTAACTCTTGAGTTCTTGTCATATTTTATTACCTATAGCGTGTAATGTGTGAGATATATAATGTGAGAAATGTTGAAGGTGTCTGAATAAATTTTGGTTTGACTGTATCAATTTGATAAATTGTTAACCAACTAGCATTATACATACTCTTTTGGTTTCTGTACCCAATATTTAAAAAATGTACAAATGCAATCTTCTTTATGCACCAAGAGCTTGTAACACTCCAAAGAGAAAGGAAAAAATGAAATTGCATCATATGACCCCTTTAACATTTGCATAATCAAAGAAAATATAAAATATATTGCATGCCATTTCTGAATTTGTATGTATATTCTAAACATTGTTTAAGCATTATATAATGTAATAATTTATAATACTGTAGTAATAAAACAAAAATGATAAAAAATGGAAACCTCGACTTGTTTGATCTGTCGGTACTCCAGCTCATCTCTGTATCCAGCTTGCTGAAATCTGTACAGGTTCTCAATCTCTCCTGTCCACTGCTTTGCTCGGCTCATGGACTTCGGCTTGGCGTTGTTATCCAGTAAAACTGAACAGGACATTATTTCTGTGTATGATAAACACATCACAGTATTTTCCTTTGGTATAAATAGTTTCACTACAAATTACATTTTTGCACACAATCAAGTCAAATCAACTTATCGCATGTACAAGAACACAGCATGCACAAATGTTGCGCTCAAAAACATTACCAAGTAACGCTGGCCTAATGCTGGATATTCTGGATTTACAAACTTTGACAGCTAAGAATCTAGTCTAATTCACTCAGAACACGTCTTACACTCTGATAATAAACGACAATGTGTTTATATTTATTATTAATAAGGTTTTTAATACAAACTTACATCGACGTGTGTGATAGACTGCAGAACAATCTTGCGCATCATTTGTTTCCTAGCAACATAGCTAGTTAAAAAAAAAACGCTTGAGAGAGAAGTGGCCAATCGAAAACACACCCGGAGTTCCCTTGTTTGGTCGGCCAATTAAAATTATACCCGGGAACTTGCCTAGAAGAAACAAACCGAACAGTTCCAGGATATGCATAATTATTTGCGATACTTTGTTCGCATTTTTTCCTCATTGTATTGTTTTAGAGTATACCGACTATTGTGGCTTTTTGCAATGTTTTGAGTATTGTTTTCGAGTCCAGTAGATGTCGCTGTACTATTCACACACTATCAAATTACAGATGTTTATTTCCGAATCACGTGGTGTCATGCCAAAGCGATGACAGGAGGAGGAAAGACAGATGCAGGGGTGCTGCGTCTCGCCCAGAAAGAGTTTGGGCAGTGATGTCCTGAGCTCTCAGCTGCTTTGTTTGAGTGTTTTAGCGGCTCAAACTCGTTGCAGTCAGCATGAGCTCGTTTGCTGGCCGCATGAAGGAGTATCCCAGCATGTCTCTGGACCGATTTGACCGGGAGAATTTGCACGCCAGAGCTTATTTTCTCTCTCACTGCCATAAAGGTGCGTATATAAAGGACATTGCATCTATGAACTTTGTTTTGCTTGTTTTGTTTTGTTTGATATATCTGTTGTTGTTTAATCTAATAGATCATATGAAAGGGTTGAAAGGACCTTTTCTGAAGAGAAAACTGAAGTTCAGGTGAGTGATAGTTGTACATATTCCAACCCATGTGACATATGAAACATCCTTTTCTTATTAAACATTTATTTGTTTATAAACGTTTAACTGTAAAAGTTTACGTAAACCGTTGGCTTTGTCTCCAGTTTCGAGTTTCATGTAATATATGTGTAAACTACTTTATTTTTATATGCATTACTTTAGTCTCAGAATTAAATTTGTTTATAGACTGTTTTTTCAACAAGCTTTTTTTGTGAGTTATAAATGGCTTACTATTCGATGCAACAGTATTAGTTTCTTAAAATGTGTTTATGTACTAAATGTGAGTTTGTATATTCTACTTTTATTCTATTCTATTTTGCATTTAGATTTATTGTGTTGTCATAGTTTAAAGTTTATCTTTAAAAACATTAAGAATTTAATAACAGTTCAATGTAATCTTTAACAGATCTCAAATTTAATAACCCTTTTTTCATATATCATTAAAACATTTTTACGCTCTAATTTGTTGCATAAATGTTAGTTTTTAAAAATGTTAATTTATGTATTTATGGCTTTGTCTCCATTAGTTTAACAGTCAAGCTGTACTGTTCATTTGTCACAAAGGAGCTCCTTCTTAATAACCCCAAATATGCATTCTGGGAAGATTATATTGTAAGTACCAATCTCCGTTATGAAATTTCTCTATAAATAATTTTGTTAACTATAAGACAGCCTAATATGAGAATCTTTGCATACTAGGTCCCACTGGAACTGGACAGTCCAACTCACATATCTCTGATAGATGAAATCACTGGAGAGGTGGGTATTTAGCTCCTAGTTTATTCTTCAGTGTTTTTGAGTTGATCTGAAGTTGTATCTGTTTTTCTGTTCAGTCAGAGGATGTTGTTGTTACTCTGCTTCCGGCGGGACACTGTCCAGGATCAGTCATGTAAGCAACCTCAGCAAAATAAGAGCATGAACATGCATTAAGAACATAAATCGAGTCAGTTTTGAATTAATATTGACTTTAAACAGGTTTCTGTTTGAGGGTGCTCAGGGTACAGTGCTCTACACAGGGGACTTCAGACTGGCTGTCGGAGATGCAGCTAGAATGGAGTACTTGCACTCTGGAGACAGGTATTCAGATATCACATATTAAAATAAGTATAGCACATTTTTATATAACGATAGCATTCAAATGTTTGTGCTGCAGGGTAAAAGACATTCAGAGTGTGTATATCGACACCACATTCTTTGATCCCAAGTATCATCAGATCCCCAGCAGGGTAAGCATTTACTCGCCTGCATCATATCATACAGAGCTTGTTCATTAGGTCCATTCATAACTGTCTTTTCTGTTTTAGGAGGCTTGTTTGGCAGGGATAAGGCAGCTGGTCCAGGACTGGATCTGTCAGAGTCCGTACCATGTTATTTGGTTAAACTGTAAGGCAGCGTACGGTTATGAGTACCTCTTTACCAATCTGGGACAAGAGTTCAGCTCACAGGTCAGAGATTGTTTTTTGTTTTAGTTTTCTTTCTTCATTATTTTAAAACATTAACACTATTTCTCTATTATAGATACACGTGAACAGCTTGGATATGTTCAAAAAAATGCCTGAAATTCTGTGTCACGTGACCACCGACCGTGCAACACAGATTCACGCTTGTAGGCACCCCAAGGTACGCTCAACCTTTGCATAATGACACCATCATATATTTCCTAGACAATGATCACTATGGTGGTTTTCACAGGACGAGGAGTTCTTCAGGTCAAACAGGTTACCGTGTGGCTCCACGGCTCCGGATGGCATTCCTCTAAACATAATCAGCATCAAACCCTCAACCATATGGTTTGGAGAACGGACCAGAAAGACCTCTGTCATTGTCAAGTGAGTCACAAAGCATTGATATTAAAATCCCAGCTGCAGATAATTCGTTTCATGTTATGGGCAATATTAAAATTGTATTAATATTTATTTATCAGAATAAGACACTAACATTTCCCATTTTATTGAGATTACAGTGTTAAAATTTTTTTTTAAAGTACAGTATTAAAAATGGATATTAATTTTCAAATTTTTTTCAAAAACACTAATAATTGCATAGCACTGTTAAATGTTATATTTAAAAGATCAACTTGAAATGTTAGATGATGGTACAGGAAATCTGAATGTAAAAATAGAATAAACTTTGCATGCAATTACTTATAATAATAAAAAAAAAAATATATATATATATATATATATATATGTGTGTGTGTGTGTGTGTGAGAAAAAATGTCTTTTATTTTTTATTAAATTTTATTATATATTTTAGTTATTTATTCACAGTGTCTTTCTTTTCAGGATGGGAAGTAGTTCCTACAGAGCATGCTTTTCTTTTCATTCCTCTTATTTGGAGGTGAGACAAATCCCACTGGGAAGGATATTCTTCATGTGACACACCATACTCAATGTTTGCGTCTTATAATCCTGTGTCTATTTCCTGTGACTAGGTTAAGGACTTTCTCTCCTACATCTGTCCTGTTAACATCTATCCTAATGTCATTCCGTTGGGAAAGACACTGGAAGACGTCATGGAGCTGTAAGGACAAAACTTATTTTTTGGTACCGTGTTGTCATAAGACTTTAGATAATTACTATAAAAAATTTTTTTTTTTTTTTTTTTTTTCCAAATTCAGGTTGAAGCCATTGTGTAGAAAACAATCTGGAAGGGAGGAGATTGTCTACAAACCACTTGGGGCCCTCAAAAGAACCAGAAAGAGGTGCACATCAGAAGGTACGAGTAGCTTTCATTATTAATACAACTTTTACTATTGCTTTTAAACTTATACTCTATATCTTTCCGTTAAGGCTCAGACGGTGATAACGACCTGTTTGAGGAGGTTTCCACAGCTCCAAGGCGGCGAAAAATGACAGTGACCGACCTGACCAAGGTTGCCATTAGTGAACAGCCTCGTAGCCCCAAAAAAGATTCTCATGATACGGACCCAATGTTTTCCTTCATAGAGCCCTGTCTTGCCACACACTCTACCAATTACATGGACTGCACTGAATCAAATGATGACGACGATGACGATAATGATAAAGATGATACCGAGCAACCTCCTATACCTCACCCATCTGATGTTGCTCCACCTCCTCCACCTTGCACAGAAATGCCATCCTCAAAACTGACTCCGTCAGACCCATCCCAATCCAAAACAACTCCGCCTTGTTGGCAAAAGTTCTTCAAGGCGGAACCAGTGTTGACGGATGAGGGCGAACTGGATAACAGTCAGAACAGCCACAACACTCAAACACTCTCCACCGAAAACACAGAGTCCCAGTCGCCTGAGCTGTTTCAGGATGAAGATGAGGATGACAGCAGCTCTGTTCACTTGACTTCCTCACAGTCCACTCATATATCGGACGCAGGGACGGAGAGCCTCAGTCAAATGGACACTGTTCTTGTCCAAGTGGATGAAAGTAAGGCCGTTACTAGTGAGCAGAGTAACCGAGGGACCAATGGCGAGGTGGTGTCAGATGTGATTGACAGCCGTAACGTCGAACCCAAAGAGGAAGAAGCCATGGAGCCGAAATCAGACTCACAGGTATCATCAGATTTTGAGCTACCACCAACACCAGGGTCCAAAGTCCCACAACCAGAAGACCTGAAGGAACTGTACAGGAAGTTGGCAGCAGGGGAGGAAGTGGTCATAAGACAGATTTTTTGATTTCATGTTTGAATATTAATTTCTGGTTTGTTGTAAGACAGCTTACCTCATGGAGTTTTTTATCTTTATAAATATAAATTAAAAGTTCTCAAGCAAATACAAAATGTTTATAAATGTTGTTAAAGTAAACCTATTAAAAGTAGTGCTGTCAAGCGATTAATCGCATCCAAAAATAAAAGTTTTAGTTTGCATAATACGTGTGTGTACTGTGTATATTTATTATGTATATATAAATACACATACATACAGTATATATTTTGAAAATATTTACATGTCTATATTTATATTCATATAATTTATATTATAAATAAATATATTTCATATATAAACAACATTTTTCTGAAATATACACATGCATGTGTATTTATATATACATAAATATACACAGTACACATACATAATGTAAACAAAAACTTTTATTTTGGATGCGATTAATCGTTTTGACTGCATTAATTAAAAGCTGTTTATTTAATTGAACTAAAGCTGAAATGTAATTAGATGAAAAAGTGAAACTTCATAAACTTGATTTATTTCAGCTGCTAAGGCAACATTTCACATTTTCATTCAAGTTGAAGAACTAAAAAATCTAAACACCAAAACAAATAAAAATAAAGCTAAATGTAAATATTAAAAGAAGACAAAAACTAATAAAAATGACAAAAGCACATAACAGAATTACTAGAACATAAAATAAAAGGTCAAATCTAAAAAAAGCTAATTCAAAATATTAGTATTATAATACTAAATAACATTGAATGTTTTATTTACTGTATATTGTA